AAAAATAATAATAAAAATAATTAAAGGGTCAATTTCAATACATAATGTTCGGTCTTTATTTACTTGAGCCTAGTTTAGGAAGGAAATAGCCCCTTCCTGCCACTAATATGTTCACTTTGTTAACTGTTTTCTGACCACTCTCACTCTGTCGCTTTTCTCTTACTTCACAATACATTGATTAATCTCAAAGTGATTTGTTAGAAGTGAAGTGTAGTGGTTTCCGTCGTCTATACAATAAAGAGAGGGTGGCGAGTCACCTACAGAGTGCTCAAGTGCTTAGAGGGCAGTTTGATCATTTAGGGGTTCCTGAATAGTAATTTTTGTCGATGTGGTGTCCTCTAAGTTATTTTCCTATGGGAGGCACAAATTGGCTCCTGCTAGACTGTTTTTTAAATATTTTTAAATTTTTTTAATGAGTTTTGCATATTCTTTTTGGGAAATTCATCAATATTATTTGAAGGGTTAGGAGGTTTGAATAACTGAGATCGTGCCATTTGGTATGATCCATGAGTTCCCCAGGGATCTTCATGGAATTTGAAAGTAGGAAATCTGCAGAATTCATTAAAAAAATGAAAAACAAAACAAAATATAAGAGTAATTTTTCACGGGCCAGTCCGTGAAAGTAAACACCTCCCACTAAAAAATGACTTTAGGGACGTACCAAGTATATAAAATAAACATAGCAACGCCCCACCTAGTGAAATAGCGGTGCTTAGAGAGTGCAACGCCTGGGTGAATATTGAAATGGCCCAAGGTTCTTTTCTTATGGTTAGAGAGTGATGCAAATAGATGGTGGTGTGATTCTGTAGATAAGTGACTGTGTACCGTGTCAATGGTGAGGGTGTCCGTTTCATGTAATGAATAATGATAGGTTGTTAGATGAGAAAGCAAAAAAAAAAAAGTTAAATAATATGAATGTTTTGTCCTATGATGGAGCGTGAGAATTGGGCCATCTAATCATGGTCGATTCACAAATCCAGACCACCTTTCCATTAACCATTAAACTTTGTAACTAATTTTAACACAACCAAACTAGCTGCTATGATGAAAAAAGGAGGCAAAATAAACAAAGATAAATCAAGAATGTAAATCACACTAATTGTTTTTTTATTTTTAAAATATAACTAGAGTGATTTTTTTTAACTATTGCTATTAATTTCTTCTCTTTTGTTTTTTTCTTCAACCCAATTTGTTTCTTCGTTTAAAAAAAACGTCACTATTTTATATTTTATTTTAATTAAATACAAGGAATTAAACTTCTGTAAAAATTACAGGGCGGGCCTTTTATGCTGCCGGCCACGGCACGTGGTTCAATCATGTATGGGAAAGCAAGTTAACTATTAAAGTAAAATGTGTGTCATTTTAAAGGATATAAAATTGTGTCATTTTAAGAGAGAGAAAAAGATAGATAAAGGAGAAGAAAGAGTTGACCAAAAAAATAAAAGTGTAGGTTCCACTTCTTTATAAAAGTAAAATAATATAAGTTGTGTCATTTAAAAGTATAAATATTTTTCCTTAATTATTATTACGAAATTTCTTTTAGGTTTCAATCATGTTAGTTGAAAAAGAGGGCAACCTTTTAATCAGCGGCGAGCTTTAAAGTTTAAACCCAATAATTTCATGGCCCATCTACAAAAGCATTTTACGGTATTTCAATTTATATATAAGAGTTGAGTATATAAAAGTGAGAGTATATGTTTGATTCTTTCTAATATTATTTTTTTTAAAAATTTTAAAATTTTAATCCCGAACCTATCCTAAATATAATTACTTCTTGGGGAGGATACATTTAATTTGTCCAAGGCACTTTTAAACTTATAACTAATTAACATAGTTGGCTTTAGTTCTAACCAACAGGAAAGTCCTAAACTAGTTCATTATGGAATTTCAATTTTTTAAATATAATATTAATACTCATATTTAATCTATAACTTCATACAGACGATGAGTTCTTCTTCATTAGACTACGTCCACTACTCTTAGTGGCTTCAAATTTCAATATAAAATTAAGTTAAATCAAATTTCTGGATAGTTAATGAGAAATCTTCATTCCATTTATATGCATTTGGATCCCCATTTACCAACAAATATATTGGCTTAATGTTATAAAAACAATATTTGATTTCTTTTTTCACATATCTAATTTAAATATTTTCCTTAAACTCTTATTTTTATTTTTGGCTATTACATCTCTACATAGTAAATACAAATATAAAAAAATAAAAAATAATTTTTTTTCTGGTACACTTTTATGCAATGTTATTAAACCCGGACCGGTGATCGACCCGGTCGGGGTACCGGGTCAGTGGGTCACTGGTTCAAGCAATGGGTCACTGGTTCAAGCAGTGAGTCCTTGGTTCAACCGCATGAACCGGATATATATATAAATTTATATTTTATACTCAATTATATAATAAATATTTTGAATGGTACAAGCGAATTAAGAAGCAAATGTAGTTACCCAATGGGTGCAGCTTAGTTGGTAACTTGGCGCTGAGTTAGTGGGGTTGGATATGTGTTCGATTCCCGCTGAATGCATTCTTGGGGAGGGGGCTGAACCTTTAGCCATCACTGTTCCCCCGCACTCCTGATTAGTCCCATAACCGGCTCAAAGAGTTGAAGCTCGTGGGGATACCGGAGGGAGCCAACTCGTCTCAAAGAGATAATTAGGGTTGGGTAACTCTAAAAAAAAGAAAAAGAAGCAAATGTAGTTTAGTGGTAAAGACTATAATTTATATCTTCATAACAAGGGTTCAATTTCCACTAAATGCTATTTTGAAATAATTTTATTAAATAATATATATATATATATATATATATATATATATATATATATATATATATGGTGCATAATAACCAACAAATAAACTCAGCTTAGTGATAAGCTGTTGTTGGACATCCTCACAGGACTCAAGTTTGAATCCCAGCGGTTGCAACTTTGAAAATATTTTTTCAAAAATCGAGTTGAATTGTAAAATCGGGTCAAACCGTAGTTCTTGACCGGTTCACCGGATCAATACCGAGTCGATTGCTTGTCCGGTCTATTGCAAAAATCAAACTGGTTGATGGACCGGTTTCAGTCGGACCTGCCGGGCCAGTGCGATTTTCGCAACACTACTTTTATGTGACAAATTCAAGATTTTATTATGGAGAGTGAAATATCTTCTGCAAGTACTTTCCATTCATATCCACGCGCCATCTTTATTTTCAGGTATATATTTCAACAGATTTCATATCAAATCGAATCAATATTTTCCCTTTTTAGTTAGTTATTCATTTAAAGAAATTTTTTAATTTGCTTAATTTCTTTAATCAATACTCAAATTATTTCAGTAAACGTTAGGCATAATTGGATATTCATTTAAGGTTTGATGTTTGTTATTTTAAATGACATAAGTTATGTCATTTTAAGAGAAAGATAGACACAATAAATAAAAATTATTGGAGAGAGAAAGTGGATAATTTTTTTAATTTAAATTTTAAATAATTTTTTTTCTTGTGTCTATCTCTCACTTAAAATGGCATAACTTTATATTTTCATCAATTAAACCAAATTTTCAGATGTTTTAAAACTAAAAATTTCAAAAATATTTATTTTTATATTTTAATTTAAGTTTTAAGAATTTATGTATGTTTAAAAATATCTGTTCAATACACATTATACTTCTTAGTAGTTTAATAACAAGATCACTAAATCTACATTTATATTTTTGTAAAATGTATTGAAAGAAAATGTGTTTCTTGAGTATTATATAAAAAATGATTATTTTCTGCCTTTATCAAAGCAGAGTAAAAGGAATTTTGCACTTTTTAGGCTTCGAGAAAATTAGTATTTTCTGAATTATATGAAGCTAGTAAACAAACATCGAATCCATGGATATTTGAGCCCGAATATCCGGGAAAAAGTAGAATATTTGATGGAAGAACGGAGAAGATATACGTGCATAATTTTAAATTAACTATAATACCGAAAAATGGTTTGAATTCATTGTAAAGTCTCAAAGTATTAATTAATTAATTAAAGTAAATAAAAAACTTGCAACTTCACTAACTCTTTAATTTTTAACCACACAAAGAGAAAACAGAGTTTTCCTTTTTAAGATTTATAATTTAATGAGTTATAATTTTATAAGATGACAAACTTTTTTTTATTTATTTTGCATTTTATTTCAATAGTGGTTAGGTGGTATGTAGGTATGAGAACTAGGTTTAAGGAAATTTCGCAATTATAAGATTCAAAACCGCAAAGAAATGCTTGAGGAAAAACAGGTTGAGGCAATAACTAAAATTCCCAATTGATAAACAGAGACCACTGTACCGGTAGTTCTCCAACTTTTGTACTTTTCGCAAATTTTGGCCTTAATTTCCAAACGCCATTAAATACATGTGAACCCTTTCTCTTCGTCCCATTTAATTTCCTACCACTATAGTCTATATATATAAGCAATCAAATAAACACCTAACTGAGACACTGTGTAGCTGTATACTCACGAGATTTAACCTCAAAAGGTTTCACATCTCCATTTTGAATTGACACTTACCACTTTCCTTTTCTATTTTTGTCCTTTTGAATCTCCGATCTACAGTCCCTTAATATGTTAAAAAGTTACACATCTTTTTGAGACTCTTACTCAGACCCATTCACATATAACACGGGAAAAAATTCACAGGTTCATTTCTATCTCTCTGTCTTTCTGTTGGTTGTTGTGATCTTCTTCTATATTTATCTCATCAGTTAATTAATCACAACTGCATTATGTTCTCACCTGATTTTCTGTTTCTTCTTCAGCCAACCAGAACCCCGCAAAAAAAAACGAAACAGAAAAAGGGTCTTGAGGCGTTCGATTTTTGCATCAGACAGACACATCCAATTGGCCAAAACTCACCGACCCAATTGAAGAACCATTCCAAAGTTTGAATCTTTGAGTATTTTAAGGGACGAGAAGCTCGAAACCTCAAAAGGGTAGAGCGTGACAATAACATAGCCATAGAAGCAGAGCATGAGAGAGAACAACGTGGTTGTTGGGCAGGGACAAGAGAATTACGGATCAGGACCTTTTCGTCATTTCAGGGACGGAATCTGGCGTCCATTCATGAAATCGAGATCCACTGTCATTCTCGGCTTCCCCATCTTCCTAATCGTCGGCGCGTTGTTGTGCACGCGCTTGCTCGACACACATGTGAGTTTTCTAATACCTCTGCGTCCAATGTTGATTGGTTCAATGATTTTACTATTTTTAACGTTAGTTATTTGTTTCCCACGTTACTGTTGTCTGACTGAGACGGAGGCAGGGGAATTCCTCTGGAAGGTGAGTGAATTCCCTTGGCCCAAGACATGCATGCCCCAAAAATTGTCGTTTGCTTAGTTAGCCCACTACTTGATTGGTGTGCCTTATGCCTCGCCCAATTTCTTACCCATTATTTGCATTTTCAAATGGTAATTATTATTATTATGCACATGGTATGTAGCATAGAAGTCCATTTAATCAGTACTTTATATCACCTTTTTGTGTGTGTATGGTTTAGGCCGATGGACCTACAACTACAAACATCTAGGTTAAGAAATAAATGAAGGGTTTTATAATTTTAATTTAATATGAGAATTGAAATCTTTTTAATTTCTGTGCTTATATGAGTCCCATATACAACTTTTTATAACATATGAATTTAATGTACTTTTTATCTCTATGGTATAAGATTTCAATTCTCATGTAATTATAAAACCCATGAATGAAACTCTATTAAGGTAGTGTTGTTAAGATTATATAACAAAAATTTGATCTGTAAATAATATTTATAACCTTTTACATAGATAATTTAACAACGTACCTCTTTTTAGGAGTGTGTGATTTATGCTTATATAACTTAGAACTCTAGATTGCGCATAAATCTGTTTATAAATTAAATTAAATTAAATATATTTTACATAAATTAAAACATATTAATTAAAAAATTATGAGAATGACATGAGATTTTATAAAAGATAAAGAGTGTATGAGTGAAAGAAATGTCAGCTATTTAGGTGACTTAGTTGAAAGGTGTAAATGTGGTAGGTTTAACTCTTGCCAACAAAGTTAGGAAAGAGGATCTCACTCAACCTAATGATTTGACTTTGCCTAAAGCTAATCAAGTTTGAGTTTGAGTTTGAGTTCTGAAAATTAAAAGTAAAATTTTTTTGAGCTGAGTACGTGCCACATTTTGAATTGATTGACTGAGTCTAATGTTATGTAATATTTTGAAATTTATAATTTTTCTTAATAATAAAAATCAAATTATGAGATTTCTAGACTCAAATTAATAATTTTTTGCATAATAGAATAATATCTTTTATTAATATAACTCTTTAAAAATTATATTCTAAAATATGTCTTAATTTTTAAGTTTTGACCTTTAAAATTTTATGACGATATTATATATTTCATTTACATTTTTGGGATTTGTTAACTAGATTCTTCGTTTTATAGGAATTAATTATAAGTTGAGCCATGCCAAATTAAATTTGAATTAAAAAAATGCCTGATTAAAATATCTACATTCTAATATCACTGAGAACTTTGCTTTTTTTATTTTTTTTTTGACTCTTCAGTTTATGCTTCTTGATTCTGAGATAGGTTTAAGGCATGGAATGCGACTTGAATAATATAATACCAATATTATAATAACAAGAAAGCGACGTCGTTTTAGTTTAATTATTGAAATCAATAGGGTTTAAGGCTTAACAGGCGCCGCGAGTGTCGGCTAACCAGACATAGAAATTCGAAGATCGTGAGTTGTAAGAAGTATTTTGCATTCCACGTGTCCCTCAAATTTTATGACAGACCGAAAAGTGGGGTCCACTTATGACTTTCACTGATAATGTACAGCCACCTGTTTTATGCACATAAAGAATAAGAAATGTTTTTTTCATGTTAGATAAAATTTTTTATCTCTTCCAATCTGAGTCAGCATTTCTTTTTTCTTTTTCTTTTCTTTAAACCGTGGGATCTACCTAATTATGTTTCTACATGAGATAATATTATCTCATATAATATAAGAAAAACATTGCACATAAAGTATTTAGACCCGTATAACTTGTTTTGTAACCTTACATTATTAAATGGTGCTATTTTAAGGGGACCATGCTAGAACTGCACTGCACTCTGCACCTAACTATGACGCAGTTTTCTCGTCAAGTTTCTACTTTTTCTGACCCCTTTAAAGGTTTGGAGTAAGTCTTACGCTAACCTAATTTGCATGCGACAAACAGTAATTTTTGTTTTTTTTTAGTTTAACAGTCAAATTACGTGCGTGACGCGTTGTTGTTTGTATTGTGATTTGTTTGACTATTTTTATATAAGAGATTAATGTTATAAATTTTATTTTTTACATATTTATTAAGGAAAAAATTTATTCTTATGCAACAAGTAATTTTATTTTCAATAGATTCATTAAAAATTGTGACACTTTTTTTTATTTTTTTCTCATTTTGTAAATGGTAGGCCCATCATATATGTGTCTATAATATGAGAGATTTTCTCTCATATAACATGAGATTAGATGAATTCATACATTAAAGAATATTATAAATTTCATATAGGTCTCACAACATATTTTTATGTGTGTAGGAGATAAAATTATCTCCTACAACATAATAGACATTAATCCTTTTATATTCTTTTATTGTTTGACTTTATTTAACTTAGATACATATATTATTTGCATTTGATGCTTATCGATGGACTGTACAAATAAAATAATATAGAAAAAGTGATTGAGTTACTATAACATAAGTAGTTGAGTTATATGACACTTTTTTATATTATTAATTGTTTGATTACCAATTTATAGAATTAATTTTTTTTGTAATATCTATAGATGACTAAAACCAAATTTATTATAATACATTAATAACTTTATTTATGAATTATTTTATGCACAATAAAACTGAAATAATGAAAGAGGAGGGGTTTTCCGATTTTCTTTTTCACTTTTTGTGTCGTGAATAAGATTTGATAAAGTAACAATTTTTTTAGAGATTTGGGTTATCCCTTGAGTTATATTTTTTTGTCATGCACTTATACTGTTTGAATAATTATAGAGATATGAATATTTTATATTCAATTTTTATACTTGTGACATTACTTTAAATTGCATAATATTCTCAGAGCAATGTATGTACCTTGCCTAACTTGCTTTGTTGATGATGTATCGATTATCGAATAATTACATAATGCATTCAGAAAGTGTTACCAAAATTGGATATGTAGGCCGTAGGGGCAACGTTGCGTTAAAGCATTAGAGGTGGACTCTGATGTAGTTTAATTTGTCTATTTCATGTCTTCAATTGAATTTTACTAAATAAACAAAAGAAAACAATACTAATTAACACATTGTTCTTTGTGGCCATTTTGTGTTGTGTGTAGCAGGTCGTTTCCGGGGGTTCATCTACCAAACCAATATTAACCACTACATTATTTGACACACAACCTTACACAATCTCCGAAAAACCAAAGCCCAAAGAGATCCCATTGAACTGCGATGCATACAACCTCACCCGAACATGTCCCACCAATTATCCAATCTCAAGGGATAATCATCACCGTTCATCGAGTCCCACGTGTCCAGAGTACTTCCGTTGGATCCACGAAGATCTGAGACCCTGGGCCCACACGGGGATAACAAAGGAGATGGTGGAGAGGGCAAAAGCAACAGCAAACTTCAAGTTAGTGATATTGAAAGGGAAGGCTTATTTGGAGACTTATGAAAAGGCATTTCAAACAAGGGATGTTTATACTTTGTGGGGTATTCTACAATTGTTAAGGAGGTACCCTGGAAAGGTGCCTGATTTGGAACTCATGTTTGATTGTGTTGATTGGCCAGTGGTTTTAACAGATCATTATAATGGGCCTAATGCTGAGAACCCACCACCACTCTTTCGCTATTGTGGTAATGATGCCACCTTGGATATTGTCTTCCCTGATTGGTCCTTTTGGGGATGGTAAGCACATTTCATAACTTTTTTTTTCTTAAATTTAATTAGAGGTTAGTTTAGTCTAGAGTTTTCATGAAAATATATGATCTAACTTAAAAAAAATAAAATTAATTTCACTTAGCCTTAAGTTTTATTTATTTATTATAAGGATCTACAAAGTAAAGTCTAATAGTAAGGTTGTTCTTATTCTTTAATTTAATTTATAATTGACCAAAAAAATTATATGACTAAGAAAAGAGGAGTTTTGGTATGGTCATTATGGTATGCGATATGAGTTGGTATATAGCACGACAAAAATATGTTAAAGAATATAAGTTTGGTTCTTTTTATTTTGTGAAAGAACACTTAGATAAGAGTTAGCCAATGGTTAATATAAAGTATTTTAATGCATAATGTGTCTGTGTTTGATAGGCCTGAGGTTAATATAAAGCCATGGGAGATTTTGTTGGGAGAGTTGAAAGAAGGTAACAAGAGGTCAACATGGTTAAACAGAGAGCCTTATGCTTATTGGAAAGGTAATCCTGCTGTTGCTGAAACTAGACAAGACCTTATGAAATGCAATGTTTCTGACAAACAAGAATGGAATGCTCGTTTATATTCCCAGGTATCAATCTTATTATAACTTTGTTCTATGTATGTATAAAATATTCCCTTATTGAAATGAAATTAGACCTTATTTTGGATAAAAAAGATTATGTTCACCATCTCCTTTATAAACAAAAGTTATAAGCAAGATATTCTTGCAATAATGAAAATTACAACTAGCTTCTTAACAAATGAAAAATTTGTTCCAGGATTGGGGACGAGAATCACAAGAAGGGTACAAGAAATCAGACTTGGCAGGCCAATGCACTCATAGGTATAGCATTGAAAGTGATCACAAAGTTTGAATTCTTGCTTGCTTTATATAATTATCTATAGTAATATATTTTAATAGCTATTTGGATATGTATAGTTATCAATAAATAAAATTTTATTCCAATCATGATGTGTGCAGATATAAGGTGTACATTGAAGGTTCTGCTTGGTCAGTCAGTGAAAAATACATTCTGGCATGTGATTCTGTCACTTTACTTGTAAAACCACATTACTATGATTTTTTTACAAGAGGGTTAATTCCGGTGCATCACTATTGGCCCATTAAGGAAGATGACAAGTGCAGATCCATTAAATTTGCCGTGGATTGGGGCAATGGTCACAAGAAAAAGGTAATCTCAAAGTTTTGCTTATTCATTGATGTTAGAATATATAATTCTTACCAAATTTAATCTTACATACAATAAGATTTCACTTCTGAATATGTGGTTTAATAGTATGGATTATTCAATGATGGAAGGGACATTGGTAAAGAAGCTTAGCATGTTTCAACCCTTATATGATTGCATAATCTGTATATTATACTAAAATATGTGCTTATAGATCAAATAATAAACAAGAATTACTAATGTCAACCTTCTTGGAGTAGAGAAAAAAGCTGCTTAATGTTTTACTTCATCATGTCTCATTGCTATTTTTGGAATCCGTCAGGCACATAATATTGGAAAGGCAGCAAGTGATTTCATTCAAGAAGAGTTAAAGACGGATTATGTGTACGATTACATGTTTCATCTCCTGAATTCTTACGCTAAACTCTTTAGATACAAACCCTCTATAAGTGATAAAGCAATTGAACTATGTGTGGAGTCAATGGTTTGCAATGCAGAAGGATTGGAAAAGAAATTTATGATGGAATCATTGGTCAAGGGTCCTGCAAACACCAATCCCTGCACCCTGCCTCCCCCTTATGATCCTTCATCTTTGCATGCGCAATTAAGGAGAAAGGAAGGTTCAATTCAACAAGTGGAATTATGGGAGAAAAGTTATTGGGAAAAACAGAACATGAAATCTTAATGTATATTTTTCCCAATCTTCAAATGAACATATATTCATTTCTTAGATTAATTGTTTTTTATCCATCCACATATAGGGTTCTTTTTGGGAGATATAAATAGAATACACCTTATCTCATAGTTGGCTAAATAATTTGTATCATATTTGTGCGAATTATGAGTTTTAGACTCTACGAGAAATAGCATTTGGTTTGTTAACTTATATTGTTGAAGCTTGTGATTTTTAAATGCAAATGCACCAACAGAAGAGATATTGACAATTATACATAAATTTATGTACAAAATATATTGAAAATAAATGAACAACTTAAGCCTTGAAAATATTTTACATTTGTAATTTAGTTCCTGAATTTATTTCTTTATATAAGATAGTAGTTAGCTTGTGGGGATAGGGGGTTTAGGGTTTAGTCTTAGGTTTAGAATTCAAAATTTAGAAAAAGAGATAATTAAGGTTGGTATACCAAATTAAATTAAATATATAAAAGCTAATCCTTTTGTTATCTTACCTTCATCAAATTAAATAAAAACGGTTGACAAGTCATATATACTAGGTACGTGTACATTTAAATTTAAATATTATATAAGATATGACTATTAATTAATTAATAATCATTTTGCCCCTGATTTAAAATTATTCACTAATCTGCCCCTCTTTAATCGATTAACTTGAAGATTTAATCGATTAAATGGTCAAAATTGACAAAAAAAAGTTGACTTGAAGATTTAATCGATTAAATCTCCATGGTGAAATATATAAGGATACATGCGAGTAAAAGGGGCAAAATTATTTTCACCAGGACTACTTCTCTATTCCTGCAATTATTTCAATTCAAACAAATACTGTAAGTTACTCAAATCATGAATCATAACACATCTAGACCTATATATAAATTTTGGGGAAAAGGAGTATCATGTAACATGATATAAGATTTTTTACCTACTGACTCATTGGTTTTCGCACCATCATTTTTTACTTTTTATTTTTATTACATGTATGGGACCCACATGCATTTTTATTTGAGTAGGAAAGTTTATTTAAATAATGTTACATGAGGGTAGTTTTACCCATAAATTTTTGATATGAAATTTAAAAAGTTAATTGCAAATCATAATTAGTAAAAAAATAAAAATAATTCCGGTTGCGAAGCTTAGTGCACCCATTGTTACAATGAGGGGCTAGCCCAAACGGGCCGTACCCTGAGGGCATGGTGCCCGGAGAAGGCTGAATGGGGATACCTCCTGGCAATGTACCAAAACAAAAATAAAAATAAAAATAAAAATAAAAATAAAAAGGATTCATAATATGCCTTGCTGCAGCAATTATAATCTTTGATTGGTGAGTTTTATGCAGGCATAAGAAGTCTCTGTTCTTACTATGCACTTTTGGTTTTTAATTTTATTGGTGAGTCCTGCTAAATTTGTTCTGGTAATTCGTGGTTCAGGGTGGGTGTGTAAATTATTGAAGAGCTGCGGTGAAGGATTCTAGAGAAGGAGGTGTTATCTGGGTTCAATCTTGATTTTGGATTTGAAAGGTTTGAGCTTGTTTCGTTGATTGTTCTTTCTAAAGTCTGATGGTTCTCTATGGCGGTGGAGGAGCCTGAGCTTGGGATACCGAGCTAGAAAGGGAGGAGAACTTAATTGCTGCAGCAAGGCATATTGTGAAGGCATATTGTGAAGTCTGCTTGTTAGGATTCACAGTTGTCGAATAGCTCTTTCTCTTTGAACTTCCATATGTCACTCTTACTGTCTTCAAAGTGGTCTTCTCGAAGGGACAATGGTGCATAACAGGGCAATGGTAGGAACGAGGTTGAAGATTTAATCGACTACAAGGGAGATTTAATAGATTAAAACTTCAAGTCAATTTTTTTTATAAGTTTTGATCATTTAATTGATTAAATATTCAAGTTAATTGATTAAAGATGAGCAGATTAGTGGATATTTTTAGATCAGGGACAAAATAGTTATTAATTAATTAATGAAGGACAAAAAGATCAAAAAGCCCTATGTAAGGGTATAAATAAGCTTGGCAATTTGTAAGAGGTTTACAAGCTAGCCTTTTTAATAAAATAGGCCATGATTAGATCTGAAATTAAGCCTATTGGAAAATCAGGTCACATTTGGTATTTAGAGAGTAGGTACTTTTTTCCTAAAAGAGAAAAAAAAAATATGAAAGGAAATAATTATAAAGATAGGAGTAGATTAAATATGTTAATTCTTTTTTTTGTTGTTGATAAATCACATGTATTATATGTGGAAGGCAATTATGTTCGAACTAAAACATTCACATTATGGTGAGACTAGCTCTTTCAAACAAAATATTTTGTGTTCATGTGTTTTTTTTTTTCATATTTGACAAAAGATGTATTGAGTCTATGATACATCTGTATTATCGAAAATATTTTCTAAATCACATAGTCATAAACCTACTTTTAAATGGCCTAATCTATAAGTTTATAGGAAAGTCTATATTTATTTAAAATTATATATAATTTCAAATAAAATAATTTAAACTAACGTGATTTGATTCGACGAACGAATTTTGACGTGATGTGTAGCTTTTATTTTGTAAACAATTGGGTTGACAGATTCATGAGAATTATTATACAAATATTTTGATAAATTAAATACGAGAATCAATAATTTTTTTTGCCGACTAATGTACATAACTTCCATTTTGTTTTTTTTTTGTTTTTTGTTTAAAGTGATCAAGCCTAATAGGGTAAATAGACTTAGAAATTTATAGGCCTATACGAATTTATAAACCTAAATAGATTAATAGGCAAGTCACACACACACACACACTCGGAGGAAGTATCAAAGATTCAGAATTTTACTATTCATGGGTAAATTCTATAAATTAGAGGTATAACTTATATGTATGGACACTTATTCTCTCTCTTTACTGTTGTGCTATTAATGTGCACACACACCATCTCATTGGCTAACGCTATTATTCCCAGTGCACCGTGATCTGCTTAACTCAAATGTATCTAATCCAAAAATATCTGAGAAAGCCTCTAGATCAAAGATCAATATACTAGTATCTTGACTAGACATCTCTGTCCCTAGGACAGAACATTGACATCGTCTGTGGAAAATTTGGTAAATTCCTATTCCCCTGACCAAAAATGAGAAGCAACAACTACCAACCGCCGCCAATGAATCCTGCTTCACTATAGGTGGACCAATCTCCCAATGAGCCTGATCGTGGCGTTGCACCTGATTATGATGTTGTATGTGTTAGCGATTCCATCTCGGACACGACTTCCACCCCGGCATCCAATCCTCCCGGTCAGCCAGCACGCTAGCAACCCCTAGCTAGAGATACAGAAATACTTGGACGGGTCATATTGGCTGGTAAAATATATTTACAAGGACCCAGTCAAAACTCTTAAAGAGTTTGGAGTTCGTTCAAAGAAATACTTGGAGCTGAAACAAAAGAAGATAGCAAATGCTCCAAGCAAAGAATTGGTTTGTGTTAAAAAATGATATTTCAGAAGTTCAAAATTTTATTTTAGTTATATAGTAAAAAAATTACATTTATAATAATATGTAAAATGTTTTAAAAATTAATTTTTAAGAAAATTGAATATTTTTAAAATTTTGGCGGGTCATGTATCTAAAATAAATTATTTTCAATAAAAGATCCAAGAATTTATACTTCTCTAAAAATTAATTCTGCGACCTAGAAAAGAGTTTTCTCACCATGTTTTCTTACAACCAAACATGTATCCTTTGTGGCCAAGCCCATTGAGGGGTTTCCTAAAAATCCTAACCTAGATCTCACCTCCTCTATATATTCATTAGTTGTGGGTTGAGGCTAGGTGAAGAGATTAGAGAGAGAGTTTGAGTGAAACATCTCTAGGGAGGTTTGATTATCACCATTGTTGGAGAGGTTGAGTTAACCACCACATTGGTGATTCTGATTATTTGTAACCATTATTTTCATAGTGGATTTCTGATCTGGACTAGGTCCCTTGGGTTTTTACTTCTTCATTGAAGAAGGTTTTCCCACGTTAAACCTGGTTGTGTTCTTCTTCTCTCTCTCTCTCTCTCTCTCTCTCTCTCTCTCTCTCTCTCTCTCTCTCTCTCCTGTTTTGTGTTTACGTTTTGATTTTTCCACTGCGCTGCCTGACCTGGTAAAATTCAGGCCGAGGTATAGCCGAGATCCGAGATAAGGATCTTGTTGATTGACTTCCGCACAAAGGCCCCTGAGCTGATCTGAGGGAACCGAGTTCCCAATAGTGGACGGGTTCTGAGGGAGACGAGATGGAGACCAGTGGCATAACCAATGATGGAGACATGTTCAAGTTGACCGCAGATGATTTCACCTATTAGAGACCGATGATGGAAGATAATCTCTACTGCAAAGATTTACATGAGCCCATTACCCTTGATGAGAGACCGGCAGGCAAGACCGATAAGGAGTGAGAGATCCTGAGTCGGAAGGCTGTAGCCACGATCAGGAAATATATTGATAAAAGCCTCTTTGAGCACGTGTCCGAGTTCACGAACGCGTATGAGTTGTGGACGAAGCTGGAGTCCATGATTCAAAAGAAGACTCCCAGGAATAAAGCATACCTGGTTCGTCGACTTGTGAAGCTTGAATACAAGGACGACATGAGCATGATTGAACACCTCAACACCTATAAAGGTATTGTGAATCAGCTGTCAAAAGCTGAGATGAAAATTGATGATGAGATGCAGGCTTTGCTGCTGTTGAGCTCGCTGCCAGAAAGCTGGGATACTCTGGTGGTGACTTTGAGTAATTCAGCTCCAGAAGGAAAGTTGAAGATGGATGTCGTGACAGACAACCTCCTGAGCGAAGAAGTCAGAGAAGAGAATGAGGTGTTTCAAGCACGTCTGAGGCCAACGTTGCTGAGAACAAAGGAAAATCCGACTCCCAGGGTAGAAGCAAATGTCGGGGTCAAGATCGTGACAGAAGAGGAAAGTCCAGAGGTCGGTCAAAGCCGAAATATGAGTTGAAGTCCTTTTACTGTGGAAAGACAGGCATAAGAAGCCAGACTGCTGGACCCTGCAGAATGATGAGAAGAACGGCTCTGTGAAGCCGGATCAGATTATTCCCAAGAAGAGGGAAGACAAGAGCACCACTGCGGTGGCTGCCAACCCG